ACTGAAGTCTCGACAAAGGAGCGGCCACTTTCGAGTATGACTCGACGAAACGCTGATAATATCCAGCCAATCCCATGAAAGAGCGTACATCCGTCGTGCAACGGGGTTCCGGCCAATCCACGATGGCTTGGATCTTGTCCGCTAAGGGACGAATGCCTTTCGGCGTGACAAAATGGCCCAAATACTCAAGCTCTTGCTTGGCGAATTCGCATTTGTCGAGATTCGCTTTGTTCTTGGCTAGTTGCAAACGATTCAAGACAACGCGAAGGTGTATGATATGCTCGTCCAACGTCCTACTGTAGACCAAAATATCATCAAGGTAAATGAGGACGCTGCGATCGAGCAAGTCGCGAAACTCAGTCGTCATTGCTGCTTGAAACGTAGCGGGGGCATTGGTGAGGCCAAATGGCATGACAACCCACTCAAAATGCCCATACCGCGTCTTGAACGCGGTCTTGTACCGGTCTTGAGGCTGGATTTCAATCTGGTGGTAACCTGACTTCAGATCCAACTTCGAGAAGTACGTCGCGCCGCCTAACCGCTCAAGGAGATGATCAATCCGAGGGAGAGGGCCGGCGTTCTTTACGGTTTGTGCGTTAAGTTTCCGATAGTCGATGCATAACCGTAGATCTTTGTTCTTCTTCCGGACGAAGAGAACAGGTGCACCGTATGGCGAGCAACTAGGRCGAATCCAGCCCTTGTCGAGAAGATCATCGAGTTGTGCGCGAAGCACCTCGAGTTCCTCTTCGCTCATGCGGTAGATACATCCACGCGGAGGGAYGGCGCMAGCCTCGAGAGTGATCCCGTGACGTATGGGCCGATCCGAAACCGTTCCGGTGGGGGCCTCGAAGACGTCTCTATACTCGTCCAAGAGGTGAGAAATGTGTGGGTCCGGCGGTGACGCGGCTGGTCCGCCCGGCGAGGGGAGAGCATGCAAGAATACAAGGCCCATCTCCTCGATGTCATTTCGAGCAATGGCGTCGCGAATTCTCGCAACGGAAACCACGTGACAAGCAATCGAAGTGTGAGGGGTCGCGACCGTACATGGGACTAACACTCCGTTCCGATCACGGATGTGAACGGTTCGGTCATGGAAGTTCACTGGATGATCGGCGCTACGCAACCAAGACATGCCTAGAATCATGTCGAACTTGGTGTCGAGGATGTCGAAAGACACTGGCTCGCACGCAAGTGCCGCAAAGTAGATCGGAACGCCGTCAACGCATCGGTCAATTGACTTTTGCGTACGGCCGTCCGCGAGTGTAACTTGCGTAGGTTGCGTCTTCCTTCGAACGCGCGGGCCAAGACCTGCGCGGGCCATAAAGGCTTGGCTCATAAAGTTGCAAGACGCTCCGCAATCAATCAAGGCACTACAGGTTGCCTTTTCGATTTGAATGCGGATATAGAGCAAAGGTGCGTCGGTTTCGGCGTACCTTTGGGTGGCGTACTCGCGGTCAATCTTCGCAAGATAGGAGCGGAGATCGACAAGCCCCCGTCGTCCGTCAACGGAGCTGGTACTGTAGTGTGCAAATAGGAGCGTAGAGTTGCGATCAAGGCGTTGCAATGCGGCCTTGGCAAGGTTCCGGTCGAGGGTAGAGGCATCCAGGCGAAGTCCTCTCTCGTGAGCGGGTCAAGCTCCTCAAGTCTTGACCACGCCGTCGAGTCCTCGGAAATCAGTGGCGAACTGATCGGATCACTTGCCGACGGTGTACAGGTTTCGCATACGCTAGCTAAGTGCACGTGGCTTGGCTGGTCTAATGGTGGTACCAGCTGGGCGGCATAATCCTCGTACGTAGCACGAGGATCAGCGACTAATGCATGCTCCCCGGTAGTGACATCGATTGCTAGCAAGGCAACCGGGTCCTACGCTGTTGCACCATAGGCAGTATGCGTACTTTTGACGAAGGTCATAGACCTCCTTGGTGATCTTATAAGCCGTCCATGGCTGCAGCCCAGCTCCCGTCGCCGCTGTCTCTTGTGTCGCCTTGTTCTTGCGAACTTTCTTCGGACGCTTCGGCGGGAGCGCTGCGACCATTCCTCCATCACTCGAGGATGCTGCCGCAGCGTGGTGGTCGTCGATTTCCTCAGAAAACCGGCATTGTTATGTGCCGGATGTTGATAGGCCTGTTTAGCCACATAATGTGGCTGGGATTGCCTCTCGTTAGCGGCCTTGTCGTCCGTTTGGATGACTAAGTTCGTTCTGGAACGTAGTATAGTCGTACTCGTTGCCGAGTGCCGACCGCAATCCTGCGCACAATCTCGAGAAGAACTCGGATCGTTGATTAGGGAACGTCAAGTCGAAGCCTGGCGTGGTCACTATCTTCTGCCATTTTGATGCCCAGTCTCGCGTTGGCATGTTCCCTTGAGAGCATGTGTAGACCTCGTTCATGGCCATCTTCACGACGTTGCGGACCATGAATCTGGTGAACCATAGCTGCTCGAACTCCTTCCACGTAATGTGCATGTGGAGTTCGGCGATAGTGCACTTGTGTGTAGCCGCTAGGTGGTTCATCCATCCCTGCGCTCCAATCAGCTGCAGATATAGTGCCTTCAACATGTCGTCCGCCGGGACCATGCGGCATGATGCTTCCGTGAGGAAGCGTTGCCACCATGACAARGCGTCCGACTTGTTGTAATCGTCGAACTTGCTGATGTCGAAGTGCGGCATCTTGAACGTCTTTGTAGCGGCTTCCGGTCTCGTCTGTAGCTTGGTGATGTCCGTCTTGATGGTGGCCACCATGCTGCTGATCGAGTCTGGTCCGTTGAAAGTACTTATGTCGCCGATGATGGTGACGACGTGATC